GCGGTAATATCTGCATATATTCGGGAACAATATCTTTTCACGTGGAAAACGTTAAATTTGAAAACGAAATGAGGGTATTTTTTAAATAACTTCTGTTTTCCTCATTGTAAAATATAATCAGTTTCTATACCTTTCGACGGTTCCCTCCTCAACACATTTCTATAATAATATTTACTTTAAACACTATAATCTTTAATTATGAGGCTTCAAAGCTGAAAAACTCGAAAAGTGAGAAAATTTTCAGTAAAAAAAATCAAGTTGTCAAAACATTTTTTGTTCCACTGTTGGTTATTGAGAAAACTAGATTATAAATGCATAATTAAAATTAATTATTTAATGATTTTTTTAGCTATTTGTTAATGTCACCTTATTTTTACGTGCAAAGTGGAATTACTTCGAAGATATGCTTTCGTGAAATTATTTTTTATTTGTGAGACAGAAAATTAATTTTATAATTTGAAATAATTTACTACATGTTTGTAAGTTTGCGTTAAACCTACATTTTTGTTGGTTCCTTCGTTTTTATTTTGTAATGCCGCTTATCTTACAATGTGTTGAGGAATTCCCTCTACATGTGTGTAATGGTGTAATTATTTCTAAGGTGTGTGACGGAGTGTTAAAAAAATTTTTTTTTAAATTTCTTTAAATACATTTTTTGTGATCAGCCTGTAAAAATACACTATTGTACCAATTTTTAGCTAATTAGGTCAAATAATGTAAAAGTTATGTAAAAAAACGTTGTTTCAAAAATTTTTAAGTTTTTCTTTAACAACGCTATGGTCATTATTACATAGCAAGTTCTCTATATTTTTTCTGTAATATTCGCGTTAAAATACACCAGCATTTTTGGCCAAAAATCGTAAAAATTCCTTGACAACGCTATGACCATCACCTCCAATCACATTCGCTATATTTTTCCTGTAATCTACGTGTGAAAATACATATCTGTACCAAATTTTAGCTCTCTAGGTCAAATAGTTTAGGCGCTAGGTGGGGGGACACGAAATTGGCTACAGATGCAAGAGATTCACCAATAGGGTTCCGTCGGTACACCTACGGTGTACGGAACCCTAAAAGGGAGAAGAAAAAAGTAATAATAAAGAAGAAGAAAATTATTGATTAAAGAAAGTGAATGTAAAGATTCAGAACATATAAAGGAAGGAAAATTAAGGAAATAACAAATAAATAAATAAAGAAAAAAACATTAAATAGAAAAAAGCAGAAAAAAGAAAAAATTAAATAAATACATGGAAGAAAAAATAGGGAAGAAAAGTAAGAAGAAAAGGAACAATTAAATTGCAAAGAAAAGTTACATATTAAAGACAGTGGAAGAAGATAAAGAAAGAAGAGAGTAAAAGAAGTAAAGCAAGAAAATGTGACTAAGAATATAGAAAATAAGAAAAAAAATTCTATTTACCTAAAAGGAAAAACTATGAATATAAAGAATAAAGAAAATAAAAAAAATATGTAAAAATAAATACATTGGGATTAAGAGTAGTGATATTAATAAATACATAAATAAAATGTAACAAGTAAAGAAAATGAAAGAATAGAAGAAAACAATTTTTAAACTGAAGAATTAATAAATATAAAAACGATAAAAAATAAAATAGAAAAAAGAAAAAAGAAGAGAAAAATAAAAAAACGACAAAAGTAAAGAATAAACATAATAAAATTTATATAAAATAAAATATGTAAAGAAAATGAAAAAAGAGAAGGGAAAAGTTGGAAAATAAAAAATATTAAATAAGGAGAAAAAGAGAAAATAAAAAATAGATATAAATAAAAAAGAGAAAAAAAATAATAATAAAAAAATAAAAAAAGAGAGGAAAGAATGGAGAGATAAATAAATGAAAGGACGTTGAACGAAGAAAATAAAGAAAATAAAATATACACTAAAAAATATAAGTGGGGCGAAATTTCTGAAGTGAACCACCTTAAAAAAAAGTTGTAGGATTGATTTAGTATTTCGGTGATTTGTTCTCCTATATAAGAGTAACAAATTCCCAAAATATTAAAATATTTAAAAAAAAATTGTAGAAAGTAGGGGGGGTAAAACTTTCACATTTTAGAGAACATTGACATTTTGAAATCCCTATAAGTTGGATAAAACTTTATGGATTTTAATTTGTGAATAACGGATTTTAAAGCATTTTTCATGTACTTTCAGATGCTTTTAATAAAATTTTCAAAAAAAAATTTTTAACTTCTTTTTTTTCAAAAATAATTTTTATTTTTGATTTTTGACTGCTTTGAGTATTTTTTTTTAATAATTTCAACGGAAAGCTGAGGTTTTTTCCAATGAGCCATGTAATTTTCAGAGTGGGACAGAAAACAGTTTAAAAGAAATTTAATAACAATGTAGACGTTGCGCGCGCGCGGCACGCGCTTTTGGTGCACCCGTCAGACTTGCGGGTTCTGACTGCACCTAAGTAATTCAGTAATAGCTCTCTGCATTCTTCAGGGTTGAGACTGTCATTATACAATAATGCCCGCATTACTGTTACTGAAAAAATTTAGAATAACCTGTTTTGAAAATTGATTAAAATTAAAAATTATTACACTATTACTAGCCGAAAAATACTTTTTTATTTAATTGTCACGAGGAAAGATTCAATAATAAATTTCTAATAGAAATAAATAAATATAAAGAAATATTTATGGTGAATTTAAGTAATATTCCATACTAAAAATTTTCATGTGAGTACAAAAAAATAATAAATAATTTTGAAAGTTTTATGCTTTTGGTTTTTTCTTCCAAAAAGAATAAGAAAATTTTCTGCAAAAATTGTGATTATAAAATAGGAATTATGCAAATATTTTTCTTCAACAATTTTTAACAAAACTTTTTTTTTCAAAAGAAATGAAATAAATTTGTATTAACTCATCTATATGTTAATTACAATTTTTGTTACAAAATTTTAATTTGTTTCTTAAAAAGGAAAAAATTAATAATATTTTGTTTTTAGTAAAATAATAATTAGAAATTTAACTTAACATTTTTTTTATTTACATAATTATTAATTATAATAATCGTGGTATTCTCTTTTTCTGTCTACATCTGAAGTTGTAGTTTGTGAATATTTTTGTTGGTCGTTAAGCTTTTATAGATTATATTATAATTATTTTATAATAAATTAATAAAAATTTTTTAATCACTTGAAAAAAATATTTATTGAATTTATTTATAATTATTATTTTACTAAAAACAAATTAAAATTTTGTAACAAAAATTATAATTAACATATAGATGAGTTAATACAAATTTATTTCATTTCTTTTGAATAAAAAAAAGTTTTGTTAAAAATTGTTGAAGAAAAATATTTGCATAATTTCTATTTATAATCACAATTTTTGTAGAAATTTTTCTTATTCGTTTTAGAAAAAAAAACCAAAAGCATAAAACTTTCAAAATTATATTTATTATTTTTTTGTACTCACATGAAAATTTTTAGTATGGAATATTACTTAAATTCACCATAAATATTTCTTTATATTTATTTATTTCTATTAGAAATTTATTATTGAATCTCAACCCTGAAGAATGCAGAGAGCTATTACTGAATTACTTAGGTGCAGTCAGAACCCGCAGGTCTGAGGGTACACCAAAAGCGCGTGCCGCGCGCGCGCAACGTCTACATTGTTATTAAATTTCTTTTAAACTATTTTCTGTCTCACTCTGAAAATTACATGGCTCATTGGGAAAAACCTCAGCTTTCCGATGAAATTATTTAAAAAAATAATATATATATACCCAAAGCAGTCAAAAATCAAAAATAAAAATTATTTTTGAAAAAAATGAAGTTAAAAATTTTTTTTTGAAAATTTTATTGAAAGCATCAGAAAGTACATTAAAAATGCTCTAAAATCCGTTATTCACAAATTAAAATCCATAAAGTTTTATCCAACTTATAGGGATTTCAAAATGTCAATGTTCTCTAAAATGTGAAAGTTTTACCCCCCCCCCCTACTTTCTACAATTTTTTTTTCAAATATTTTAATATTTTGGGAATTTGTTACTCTTATATAGGAGAACAAATTACCGAAATACCAAATCAATCCCACAACTTTTTTTTTAAGGTGGTCCACTTCAGAAATTTCGCCCCAAGTAAGGAAAAAAGGGTCAAAAATACGGAAATTGGAAATGAAAGAAAAAAAGTACAATGAGAAAACGATTTATTTGATTCAACCATATTTTGTTTAAATCAATTATAAATTATCTTTGCTATACAGTCAAACATATTTAAGTTAACCTGAAACATATTTTTTGGTTTATTTAAAGAAGTAATATATTTAATTTAAACATAACTTATGGTTGATTTTAAATTATTTATAATCAACTTTTAAGTTTGAATCAAACATAAAATTTTTAAACATAATTTTTGTTGAAATGAAAGCAGAAAATATGTTTGAATTAAACATAATTATTCAAACAAATAATATTTTTGAATCAAAGCAGTAAATATTTTCTATATATTGGGATTAAGCTTACAAACTAATTTCAATTAAACAACATCACTTAAAATTATTTTTCTATTTAAATTAAGTATAATGTTTTCTCAGTTTAAAAGAACAGAAATGAAGAAAACAAAAAAAATACGAAGAAGCAAAGAAAGAAGAAAAAAAGTTGAAAAAAATTAAAAAATAACGAAGAAAGAAGCAGAAAGAGAGAAAACAAAAGAGAAGAAATTAATTTTTACAAGAAATGCGAAAATTGCTAATGGAAAAAAAGAAATAATTATGAAAAAGAAAGAAAGGAGAAGAATAGAAAAAAGAGAAAATTAAGAAAGGACCACAGAAATTGTAAAAATTAGAATCAATAGATGAAGAACAGAAATGATATACTTAAGAATGACCCCAATGGAATGATTCCAGCTAAAGAAGAACTTCTTCCCCGAGAAAATAGCGAGAAAGATGTTTCTGCGGATAAAAAGTGGAATAAAAAAAAATTTTTTTGCTTTCCTTTTTTGGTAAATGAAAATTTTTGGTCTAATTTTTACCTTCAACACCATCAGAAGGTTGTTCATTTGGTATTAATGAATTGATAACATTGAGAATACTGTCGCTAACCCAATCCAAAGCCGACGTTGTCGTGTAAGTATTTTTAACAAAATTTGCAAGCGATGATGATGGATGCGATGACGAAGTGTCGTCCGCGTGAATTAAAATCGGTAACAATATCATCAACCACAAACTACAAATAAAAATCATTTTTCACACATTTGACGAAATACTTTTTTAAAATTTTCCTTTTCTTTTCTTGCTATGTCTTTTAATTTTGTCTCTGCTTTTATTTTCTGTTCGTTTTTGTTTTTACGTTTTGTTCCTTTTTTTTCCTTTGGTTTCGTTTCGTTTGTTTTTGTTTTCTTTTATCGTAATCCAAATTTTTGTTTCCGTTTCTTCGTTTTTGTTTTCGTAGCAAATTTTATCGTAATCCAAATATTTCATTCACCATTAAAAAAAATCACCACACATTTGAAAAATATGAAATGCGATACGATCGCGAACTTAATGTCAACTGAGATGAAATTCCAAGTGAGCCAATAGTTTATATAGAACATCCGGAGTAGAAAGAAGGACCCTCTATCTAACACGGTACTGACGCGTGACGAAAAGATCCCTCTTGTTTCATTCTATTTTTTCTCTCTTCTCCTTTAACTTCCTCTTCCAAACCTCTCGTGAGCATTCATTGGCCGAGAGAATTGGCGAATTTACGCGAGATGAAATTTTTATTGTAGGACGAACTACGTCTCTATACGCTTGACTCAATAATTTTTTTCCTCCTCGTCGTGGGAGAGTGCAACAGGCCATTACTTTTGAGTTCGTTTCACACTTGATTAAATTCGACGGGAACGAAATTAAGTGCTCGTCATCAATATAGTATTCTTTTGCGGAAGCAATTCTGCCGCGAAGGAAATAATAATAATTAGTTTGGAAAATACACTTTAAAAGATGCATAATATTAATTTGACTTTTAGACCGTTACGAAGAGAAGAAAAACAAACTAAATTGCACGCGTTAAATAATTAAATTTTCTTTGAATATTAATTTCTTTTTTCATGTTTGAATTATTCTCAATTGCCAATAATAATTAACGGTAAATGGGTGGATTTTTTTGACAAACTGTGTCAAAAAATTTGTTCTTTCTCCATTATATTAATTAATTCACAAAATTGAAAATTAATTTATCACAGAAAAAAATGTTTTAAAGAAATAATTATAATAATATCATTAAAATAATAATATTAATATAATATAATAATATATAATAATAATAATAATATCACCAATTCAAAAAAACTGCGATGTTCTTTTTCCGAAATTCAAAATGTCGGATTTAATATAGTGGACGTAGTTTAAAAAAATGTTTGGATTCTCATATTAATTTATACTTTAGGGGTACTTTGGGGTCGATGATTAGGAAACAGATGGGTTTCTGGATCTCTATGTAAATTAGTATCTATTTGTACTAATGATGTGTTTAATTGTTCTTACCAATGTCATAGTTATTTTGTTCTTGTAGTTATTTTATTCCAAGCATTTTTCTTAATGCAGTAGCTTCAAAGGAAACATTTATTAATTTATTATGTAACACCACCATCGGTGGTGGGACAAAGTTAACATTTTGTCATTAGTGTCAGAACTGAAGTATTAGCTTATGTTTACTGCGCGTAAATAAAAGAAAAGAGTTTGGTTACCGTGGCAAAGAAAAGAAAAACTGATATATCAGATACAAAAGTTAAATCCACAAAAAAAATATGAAAGAAGCAGAATTGATTTTAAATAACAAAGTTTTTAAACATTCTAAATTTGTGAATTTTTTAAGTTTATAATATTTTAAATTCTTAATCTTAAGTTCTTTATCGTGTTTTTCTTTGTCTCACGTCTTTTTAGTTATTGTGTTCTTCATTAAAGTAAATTTGTAAAATAAATAATAAAGTTATGAATATTTTGTTTGCTCATTTAAAAGACCATAATTATACGTATTAAAACCATACATTTAAAAATTCTGAAAAGCAAATCCGTATAATTTGTAAATAACTCGTCCGCCATATTGGATCCGACATTTTGAATTTTTAAAAACTAACATCGGATTCGTAATCAGCAACCCCAAAAACCCCCGAGTAAGGAATTTCAAACGAATCCGATCAATTTTTAAAAAAGTCATTCGCCATATTGGATCCGCCATTTTGAATTTTTAAAAACTATCATCATATTCGTAATCAGCGACCCTAAAAACCCCCGAGTAACGATTTTCAAGCGAATCCGATCAATTTTTAAAAAAGTCATCCGCCATTTTAAATTTTCAAAAACTAACAATGGATTCGTAATCAGCGACCCCGAAAACCCCTGAGTAACGAGTTTCAAGTGAATTTGATTAATTGCAGAAAAGTTTGTCAAATTTGATTTTGTTGTATTTTTTTTGTCAAAGTACCTAACTTTGAAGTGAAATTGTGAAAAAACTAATGCAGCTAGAATTTCTCAATGATTTAGTTGGTGCAGAGAAATTAATATATGACAAGAGTTCGGAACAGTTTACAATTCCATGAATTACTTTATATAAGAACAGTAAATCAATATTAATTGCCATTTAAAAGAATTGAGTTTACAATCTTCAAAAATAGATGAACTTCAAAAGGCTTTAATTTAAAATTTTATAAAGTTTCAATTTTCAATGAATGTAATTAGAAACTTTTAAAAACTTAGATTTTTTCAAAATGTTAATAGTTCAAATTCTTCTTGAAATTAGTTAAATTTATCAATATATCGTCGGTTACCATTGTTATTAACAATTACATAAACAATAATCAAGTTTCCTTGACATTTGTAAACATTTTATGCATTTTTTAAACATAAAATGTTTATATAATATGTACATTCTTTCAAAAACTTTAAAAATTTATTAGCACAAACAATTACATTTGTTATAAACAAATTATTTACTTTTTAAACAAATAAATAGCTTATTTCGGCAAAAAAAAAAATTATTTTTCGTATGTTAACGAGTTTGAAGTCATGTAAAGCTCTACTTGATTATTGATAACTAGATTATTGTTCATGTAATTGTTAATAACAATGGTAATTGTTAAATTCAAAATAATTTTTACCAAAATCGACATATATTACTTAAATAAACATAAGTTTGTGTGAAAAAAAAATTTTATAAAAAAAATTTCTATTTGTTAATTAACATTGTTTGCAACAATTTAAATAAATTGTATTATACATTATTATTTGTCTGGTGGTCATGCTGGACTAATTTAAATTGATTCCAATCATCTGCAATGAAAACAAAAAAAAATTAACATGATTTTTTCTAAAAATATTGTAAATTATTAACTTTGAATAACAAAAAAAAATATAAAAAATTTAAAATTCAAAAATTGGTTTAAAGGAATCTCTTAGAAATTTTATTCCCTTCAATTTAAGACCAAACCCATGATAATCCGATAAAATTTGTAGGTTCCAGACAATTTTAAACAGTAAATTGTAAAAAATGCCAATGTGCGCGGGGCGAGTTTAACGTCATATAAAGCTCTACAAAGCTGCAGTATTTAATTAATAACTTTTTTTCTAATTGAGGCTTATTTTTTTTCGAAACGGTTTTACACTCGGAGACATTTAAGGAATAGAATCCAATTTTAATTTTTTTGTTAGGACGTGAAGAACATATTTGTTTATTAACATTTTATAAACATAAATTATATAAAAAATTATAAAAAATAAAAAAATTTAAAAACAAAATAGTATAATTCGTAACGAGTGCGAGCAGTTGTCAATTTTTGAATGAGCACTTTTTTTGGAACAAACTGTAGGCGAAGCGAAGCCTACAGTTTGTTCTAAAAAAAGTGCTCGTTCAAAAATTGGCAACTGTTAGCACTAGTTACGAACGATATTTTTCATAACAAGGTGCAAAAAAGTGCCCTTTTTTGCACCGCGTTATGAAAAATATATTTAAATAGTACAATCCACACGGAGAGAAATATCTGGGCTTTTTAGCATGAAGTTCTTCATACTACGATTGCAAGAAACCTATGCGATTTCGGTAAAAGTTTTCTGCAATGTGATTGGTCGGCCCAGGCTCTGGGCGTGGCCTAATAGCCAGTTGCAAGGGTCTAATACCGAAAAAGCATAGGATTCTTGCAATCGCAGTATACTTTCTTGCAGTCATAGTATACTAACATTTCATACTTTTAAAATACAAAGCATTCATGCTATAAACGATTGATTTTTCTCTCCGTGCAAGACGAAAAAAACCCATATTTTAATTTTAAAATCCGTCAACTGGAACTCGAGAAAAAAATTTGTTAATTAAGCAGTACTTAAAAATTCAATTGTTAATAACCTTTACAAAAAATTATTTTTTGCCTTAATATTTTCAGGGATTCTTCTTAACGATATTAAGAGTCAAAAAAACTATTTTGGTTCAAAAAAAAATTTTTTAGTTTTAGGTAATCCGTTTGAGAAATTCTGACCCATTGAGAAATAAAAATTATGCATAAAATGGATATATTTCCTATTTCTTAAAATCATAATTTTTAACAATTAACAATTTTCTAATATTTTTTATAAATAAAAAGCATACAAATTTGTATAATTTAGACCAGTCAAACAAAGTTTCTTATAAAAAGCGTATAAAAAACAAAATTTATTTGTAAATCATAACTTTTAAAAAATTTTTTAATTTTCTAATTTCAAATATTATTTTATTGTAAATTATGAAAAAAACCTGCATATTTTCTATTTGTCAAACAATATTTTCTAAAGAAAAAAAAACAAAACCATACGCAAAAGTCAAACTTCAGATGTGGACAAACAGAATGAATGAATTATTGATTATTATATTTAATAATAAGTAATACACTGTAAAAAATTTAGGGAGTTAACGGACTCGGGAGTTGGGAGTGAAATTTTTCGAGTTAAAAATCAACTCCAAAAGAGAGTTAATTTCTAACTCCCTTCATTCAACACCCGCGCGAGTTATTTTTTCCTTGGGGAGTTAGCATTTGGGTGTGAAATTTTAACTCTCTTTATTTAACTCCCCTGGCATTAACTCCCCAATGGGTGCGACTTTTATAGAATCCCCTGGGGAGTTAAAATTTAACTTCCTTTTTTTACAGTGTATTATTATTTAATTATTGCATATTTTTACTTAAGTAATTCATATTTGGTACAAATAACTATTTATTTGATGCTATAAAATAAAATATTTATGTTCAGTAAACATTTACTTATCTTAAATAAATAAAAAAAATAACTATAAATACAACCGAGCGAGCGTTAGCGAGTGAGGATATGTCGCTACCCAGTGAGAAATTTCTCACCGGTCCAATATCGGTCCAATATTGGGAGCCAAGAGACCGATCATCGGTCCAATAAAGGCTCCCAATATTGGACCAATATGGGCTGATGCTTGGGATGTAACGGCATCGCCAATCATCGGTTGTCAATATTGGTCCAATATTGGCCGAATATTGGCAGATGATAGACAAGAGATATCCGCGTCATTAAACGGATTCGCAGATATACTCTGGTCTCGCGACGAATCTCTCGATACTTATATACACTGGAGTCGCCGTGTCAGTTGCGAGAACG